CTGAACAGGGGAGCCTCTCTCAATTCCTGAGAAGTACATAAAATTAGTTGAAAAATTGATCTATCTTAGTGTTACACTGTTAGGTTCCTTTACTCAGGGAACCAAAACAGTAGCTTCTCTTCTCACTCACACACTCAACAGCAGGCAAGAAACTGTATGTATATGTATTTTATTCAATCTGTAATGTATAGAAAGAAGAAAATACAAGTAATGATCTCCCAATGAAGCCTCCCTTCCTCCACTGGCCAAGAGGTTCAGTCTATACCCAAAAGGAAAAATATCTAATATCCGCTCTCCCTTTATTTTTGTTTCTTATTTATACTCTCTCCTACTAACAAACTAACCTCCTTTCCCGCCTTTAATTTTCTCCCCCTTTATTCCTTCTCACATGTACCTTTAACTTCTTAACATTACACCCTGCAGCAAAACAACCTTATCCTCAAGGTTCGAACCATGAAACTTGATCTCCTGGCTCCTCTTCATCATCGTGTTATCATATGAAGGGAACCCACTGGCTACTGCCCTCCGATTAAGGTCTCGAGGCTTGGGTGGTGGCAAATCCTCCTCGAATGTCTTCCATTCTTCCTGGATTCTATTAACTTCCACCATTTCATGAATGGACTTAGCAAGGGAAGATTCAAAAAATGCTTTGCTAAAGAAAACTATGGGCCTCTTGCATTGCGACAAAACCACCCCTATTCCAGTGCTAGAAGCCTCACTCCACGTAGAAGGTTTGGCCAAAATCGGGTAGAGCCAGTACAGGGGCTATAGTTACAGCTTCCTTGAGTTTCTGCATAGCTTCCGCTCCCATTAGGGACCACTTGAACATTCCCTTTAACAAAGCTTCCCGGGTTAAAATTTTTGCACCCTCTAAAGAGTTCTTGTACATTATGTTAGAAAGTTCTACTGATCAAGTCTCTTTATTATATCCCTCACTTCATCCCTTTCAGTGTCTAAATGTCCCGTGCAGCTTCCAATGCCTCCACCTCAGCAATATAATCCTTTCCAATGCTCAATATGTCAATTATCCTAACAGACTCTCGTAGTCTACTCATCATCACACCACCAACAGTATCTAGTTGCTCTTGGCAGGTTGCCCAATCAGTCACAACATAGGCAACAGGATCTGGAACTGAATCCTGCCCAAAAAGTTTTTAGAGAACCTTTAATGCATGTTTAACATGATCACAAGAGCTCAAGCTTTGACCATCTATGGCTGCCTTACCAACCACTAAGGCAATAAGGACAGGAGCCCCAACTGTTTTCCTGACATTCCAGAACATAAAGCAATGACCTCTACTGTTTCTCTACTCAGTTGTTGCTCCAAAGTAGTCAACAACATCATCCCAAAATATACTAGGAAATTCCAAAGCCACTTTATTTAGAACTCCATAACCGAGATGCTGAACAGAAGAACATTTCCACTATGGCAAAGGTTGGGAGAACTGTATAGTTTCAGCCTTCAAACAACCAAGTAGAACAGTAACAAGGACAGCATCACCAAACGCTTGCTTAGGAAGATGGCAGGCCCTTTCAGGTGAATTCATTATCTCATAATAAAACATAGAAATTTAGAGCCAGACCCAAACGAATAGGATGTGTAGGTTGTAATTCACTCTCAGCAGTGGTAGCTACTGTCTGATGTGCTTTAAGTGATTGATCTGCTACCTCATTCTTTTCATTACCAGCTTTGAATTTTGCCAAATACGAGTAATAGTCTCTTCTCATCTTATAATAAAACACCGTGGACTTTGCAATATCAGTGGATGGAATCAGATGCTCATCTAAAATTATCATAATGTCACTGCAAATATTAGACAACTCCAACTCGACCTTGTGCCTATAATCCCTTATGCGCTTAACATTCAACTCATTCCTTTTTGACTCCTTTTTCTGCTCTATCGATGACAAGATCCTCCATGAATCTCTCCGTGACCCCACAACATTTTTGTATCCAATAGAGAACAAGTTCCTCTCTTCCACACTCAGCTCAACGTCCAGTTTCGCCATCTTCTTCATGGCATCCACCATTTCGGCATACCTGTTTTGTTTTGTTTCTTCACTGCTTCCGATGCGTGCAATGCGCCGAATCTTGAGGTCAGGCCTTCGCTCAGTGATCACATCAGCCTCAACACCCGTTATAATGCAAGCTCCAAGATCGAAAGGGACAGAAAGTGAGGAGTGATTTGGTTTTCCCGATGCTTGCGGTACCAAGATATCGAACTCCTGGATGTACTCATCGACACTCCCCTTCTGTCGCACCGCTGCCAGCTTCTCAAAAACAAAGCCCCGATTTAGATCGCCAAACCTCCGCGTCAGAGCGTCAGCGAACATCTTCCAAGTTGGATAACTGTTTTTCTTCTACCAGAAGCGGAACCAATAGCTCGTGCCTCCCTTCATGCATATATGGACGACCTTCATCTTCTCCTTCTCCATCACGCTCTAGAGGTCGAATAATTTCTCCGCCTTTGCGATTTAGCCCATGGGATCCACACCTTCAAATGTAGGTAGTTTAACGCGCTTCATCCCACTGCGTTGAACTTCTCCTCTGTCTTCTTCCAATTCATCCTCCGAGTTTTCCGACAGTCATCGTTCCCGTTTTGCATTGACGGAATTACGACTTCCTTCGGAACTCCGATCCTTATTCCTGGTTCATCGTCCAAGAGCGCGTCTAAACGCTTGGAGTTCGCAAGTTACTGCTCTCATCTCCGCTTTCAACTCTTCTACCGTCAACTCTTCTACCGTCAACTCAATCGCAATCAGCCTTCCCTCCATTCTTCTTCTTCACACGCGCTTCGTTTGCACCTCCGATACAGATCCGGCAGGTCGGACCAAAGCTGTTAGGTTCCTTTACTCACGGAACCAAAACAATAGCTTCTCTTCTCACTCACACACTCAACAGCAGGCAAGAAATTGTATGTATATGTATTTTATTCAACCTGTAATGTATAGAAAGAAGAAAATACAAGTAATGATCTCCCAAGGAAGCCTCCCTTCCTCCACTGGCCAAGAGGTCCAGTCTATACCCAAAAGGAAAAATATTTGATATCCCCTCTCCCTCTATTTTGTTTCTTATTTATACTCTCTCTCTACTAACAAACTAATCTCCTTTCCCGCCTTTAATTTCCTCCCCCTTTATTCCTTCTCACGTGTACCTTTAACTTCTTAACATACGGTTAGACAATTAAAAGTATATGTAAGAAGAAATAAAAGAGGACAGAATTAAATAGCGGAAAAAGGGGTTAGTTTGTTAGTGGAGAGAGAGTACAAATAATGTTGAGTTGGCTGAGGAGGGGGATATCAGATATTTTTTGCTTTTGAGTATAGACTGGACATATTTTCCAGTGGAGGAAGGGAGGCTTCCTTGGGTGGGGATACTTACATGTATTTTCTTCTTTCAATACATTACAATGATAGTAAAATACATACATATACTGTCATATTCTGTTGTTTGAGAGTTGTGTGAGAGTAGTGTGATCTGTTTTGGTTCCCTGAGTAAAGGAACCTAACAGCTTTAGTCTGACCTGTTTTGGTTCCCTGAGTAAAGGAACCTAACAGCTTTAGTCTGACCTGCCGGATCTGCTCGGAGGGTAGAGTAGTGAGCGATAGCGGAGAAAAATGGAGGGACGAATGGTAGCAATGGAGTCGACGGTGGAAGAGTTGAAGGCGGAGGTGCGAGCAATGACTCACGAGTTCCAGCGAGCTTTCAGACGACGCTCCAGGAACCGAGATCGGGGCTCTGAAGGGAGTCGTAATTCCGTTATCGCCAAACGAGAGCGACAATCATCAAAGAGTTCGGAGGAGGAATCGGAAGACGACCAAGGCGAAATACAATGCAGTTGGATGAAGCGCGTTGAGCTACCAACTTTTGAAGATACTGACCTCACGGGTTGGATTGCAAAAGCTGAGAAGTTCTTCGATATCCACGGGTTGGATTGCAGAAGGCTTCCTTGGGTGGGGATACTTACATGTATTTTCTTCTTTCAATACATTATAGTGATAATAAAATACATACATATACTGCCATATTTTGTTGTTTGAGAGTTGTGTGAGAGTTGTGTGATCTGTTTTGGTTCCCTGAGTAAAGGAACCTAACACATACTCATCCTGAAATCTCATTTGTAGTTAGCGTGGTAAGTCAATTTCTCAATTCCCCATGTGCAAATCATTGAAATGTAGTCATTTGTATATTAAAGTACATTAAAGGATCTCCTTTATATGGTCACACATAGTAACCATACTAAAGTTGTCAACTATTCAGATGCCGACTGAACAGGATCTCCTTCTAATAGAAGATCTACCTCCGAATATTGTGTTTCCATTGGAAATAACTTGATTTCTTGAAAGAGCAAAAAACAAAATATTATGGCAAGATCTAGTGCAAAAGAAGAACATAGAGCTATAGTCTTAGCCAATTGTAAACTTATTTGGCTTAAACAGTTACTTAAAGAGTTGCAATTTTGAGATGTCACTCAAATGATACTTATATGTGACAATTAGGAAACTTTTCATATTAGATCTAATCATTTCTTTCATAAAAAACCACCACATTGAGATTTATTATAATTTTATTCAGGAAAAGAGTGTATATACATACATCAAGACTGACTTTGTTAACTAAAGTGATCAGTTAGTAAATATTTTCACTAAAATTTTACAAAAACCTAGAATTGATTATATTTATAACAAGTTTAGTACATAAAATTTATATGCGGCAGCTTAAGGGGTGTATTAGATATTGTTAAGATATTATTAATTACATAATATATTATGTTAGTTACAATATTATGTATATTTGCGCTTCAACCCATATTTCCTTTATTATTCTTTATTATAAATATATTACCCTATGTGTATTTTCTACGTAAGGAGAATTAATAATATACCTAGTTTTCCATATTTTCATAGTTAACATCCAAGGGAAAACGAAAAATTCAACAAGAAAAACTGAATTTAAGAAAGTTAAAATAGAATAAAATAAACCAATTAAAAATTTGTACCCAGAATGTCTTGCCCTACTGAAAACAATAACATCAGCACCCAGTCTCATGGTACTAGTCTTGAATCCATTGCCATCTAGCATAAAACAAGATGTTACTTACAAAGAAACAAGTAAAGTGCATCAAAACTAGCAACATTCACCCCAAAATAATGGGTTAATTACATTGTTTTGGCTTTTACAATTTTGGTCTACCAACTTTTCTAAGTCAATTAAGTCTCTCAATTTTTAAAATATGTGAGAATGAATAAATTTTGCTTTCAAGTTCTCCCCACTTTTCTAAGTCAATTAAGTCTCTCAATTTTTAAAATATGTGAGAATGAATAAATTTTGCTTTCAAGTTCTCCCCACTTTTCTAAGTCAATTAAGTCTCTCAATTTTTAAAATATGTGAGAATGAATAATTTTTGCGTTCAAGTTCTCCAGTAAGTTTAGTCATAGTAACAGCTGTCACTTTTTACATGATAGTTTTCTTAGTAGTTACGCCAAGCAGTCAGTTCTAAGGGGCACCAACACCTCTATAAAACAACATCTCCCGCACTTTTCAAACACAACACTTGTCAAACAGGCTTGTCATGTGCTGGATACTCTTGAACTGTGTTGTAATTAGTGAATATGTTAGAGGCTAGCGAGTATACGAAAGAAAGAGATATAGGAGAGAAAAAGAGGGAAACCGAACGGTAGAGGATATGGGCCGAGCGGTGGAGAGGGTGGAGCACGAAGACCGAACGGTAGAAGGAAGAGAGAAAGAGGACCGAACGGTAGAGGATATGGGCCGAACGATTAACGACAGGGAACGAGTGGTCCAGATGATAGAAGGGGGAGAGAGACTTAACCGAGCAGTAGAAGGAAGAGGGAGCACGATGGCCGAACGGTTAATGACAGGGAACGAGCGGTCCAGATGATAGAAGGGGGAGAGAGACTTAACCGAGCGGTAGAAGGAAGAGGGAAAGAGGGCCAAACGGTGGGGAGCAGCGAGGAGCATCCTAACTGACACAGCAGTTAGGATTGGCGGGAAATTTATTAGAATTTAAGGGCCTATCTTAGGATATTATTAAATATAAATTAAATATAGTAAATAAAGGTGAAGATATTCTTACCCAATAATCTTAATAAATAGGCATAATTACTATGATTCTTTACCTTTTCGGGAGAGAGTGATTAGTATAAATAAAGTTAGAGTCTAAGGTTAAAGATATGTTTTTATGTGTGAGATTTGTAAGAGAGGTTATGCTCTAAGGTAACTGACGGAGATCCTGCTCCCAGTTATTGGTTGTTATCTTTGGTGCAGTATTTTCTATTCAATAACAGCGGTATATTCAGTAAATTTCCAGTGTTCCTTATCTGTGCGAGTGTGTGAGTGAGCCTACTGGTTACGGCCCAAACTCAGGTACGTAACAATCTGCCGGATCCGACAAGGGAGAATACGAGGCCAGCCGGTGCGACAGAAAAGAGAGAGGACGTCATGGAGGGAAGGATGAGCGTCGTCGAAATCAAATTGGAACACGTGGGGTTAAGTCAGGAAAGCATGCAAGTGTCCATAGGCGTGGTGGAAACCAAGATGGACGCACTCTGCAAGAATTTTCAAGAACTAATGAGAGTAATGACCACACGAACCCCATACCTAGACGGGAAACACGAAGGAAGTCAAGGGTCCGTCAATAGAAAAATCAACGAGAGGAGGGCAAGAAAGATGAAGAACCAAACGGCGATAGACCGTTTGGTAGGGAAGGAGATGGATCGAACAGTGACAGGGGTAATGTGCCGCATGGAGTTGGACGCCAGGAAGAACCTCTGAACTGGAGAATCCTGCTCCCAGTTATTGGTTGTTATCTTTGGTGCAGTATTTTCTATTCAATAGCAGCGGTATATTCAGTAAATTTCCAGTGTTCCTTATCTGTGCGAGTGTGTGAGTGAGCCTACTGGTTACGGCCCAAACTCAGGTACGTAACAATTGGTCCGACCTGTCGGATCCGACAAGGGAGAATACGAGGCCAGCCGGAGCGACAGAAAAGAGAGAGGACGTCATGGAGGGAAGGATGAGCGCCGTCGAAATCAAACTAGAACACGTGGGGTTAAGTCAAGAAAGCATGCAAGTGTCCATAGGCGTGGTGGAAACCAAGATGGACGCACTCTGCAAGAATTTTCGAGAACTAATGAGTAATGACCACACGAATCCCATACCTAGAGGGGAAACACGAAGGAAGTCAAGGGTCCGTCAATGGAAAAATCAACGAGGAGGAGGGCGAGAAATATGAAGAACCAAACGGCGATAGACCGTTCAGTAGGGAAGGAGATGGATCGAACAGTGACAGGGGTAATGTGTCGCATGGAGTTGGACGCCAGGAAGAACCTCTGAACTGGAGAAGAAAGATCGAGTTACCAGTCTTTGAAGGGAGTGATCCACTGAATTGGATCAATAGAGCGGACAAGTTCTTTGAATTACAAGGGGTGTCTGAGGAAGAAAAGTTGCGGTTGGCGTACATCAGCATGGAGGGTAGAGCAGGGTTTTGGTTCAGGTTTTGGAGGGAACAAACAGACGATCGAACATGGACGGGACTGAAGGAGGCGATAGTGGTACGGTTCGGAGGCATCAGCCAGGGACCAGTTTTTGAGAGGCTGGCTGCCATTAAGCAGACGGCCACAATAGAGGAATACATCCATGAATTTGAGATCCTAGTAGGGCAGACAAAAGGATTGGCCAAAGCACAACTTATGGGATATTTCATGGCCGAACTACAGGATGGAATTCGAAAGCAAGTGCGATTACTTGATCCGAGGGAATTGATGATGGTTATGAGGATAGCGAGGGACGTGGAGGACGTCCAAGGGGGTACGAAGACGGGGAGTGGAAGCACGAACAGGAACCAATCCTGGGGAAGACCGGGTAGTTCTGGCACGCGATTGGAGCACGGTCGATCCAACCAAAACCGATCGGTAGGGACAGTAGGAAACCGAGCGGGAACCACAGAGAACGGAGGCGCAGGGGGAAGAGATGGAACGCACAGGGGTGTCGCAGGTCGTTCGTTCATTAACAACAGAGAAAGAACCATAAGGAATTTACCTTATGCGGAGTATATGAAAAGAAGGGAAGAGAGAAGATGTTTTAAGTGTGGGGGACTGTTCGGTCCAGGCCACCAATGTCCAGAAAGGAGCTTGCAGATGACGATATTGGCAGAGGATGAGGAAGACGACGAAGAAGAAGAGAATACTGAGCTCAACCAGAGACAGATGGAGCTGTCAGCTTTCTCAGAAGGAGGGCTAACCCAGCCCAAAACGATGAAGTTACATGGACAGATAGGAGGGAGGCAGGTGCTGATTCTAATTGATAGTGGCGCCAGCCACAACTTCATCAGTAAAGAACTGGTGAAAGAGTTGAATTTGACCGTGGTGGATACTCCCCCTTATTCGGTGAGTTTGGGAGATGGACAGAAGAAGACCCGGGGATGCTGTGAGGAAGTGGTAATTCACATGGGGAAAACCGAGATTGCCGTACGGTTCCATCTGTTCGAATTGGGAGGGGTTGATGTGATACTAGGAGTAGAATGGTTAGCCAAGCTGGGGAAGTGACGTTGAACTGGAGGGAGTTGACCATGATGTTCGACCAAGGAGGAAGGAAAGAAACCATAAAAGGCGACCCCACCTTAGCTCGGAGGATGGTTGACCCAGAGGCGTTGTTCAAGATGAAAGAAGTAGAAGCCTGGATGCTAGTATGGGACCTCGGGTGGACCGAGGGGAGAGCGGACGAAGAACCGTTCGATCGTGAACCAATTAACGACAGGGAACGAGCGGTCCAGATGATAGAAGGGGGAGAGAGACTTAACCGAGCGGTAGAAGGAAGAGGGAGCACGATGGCCGAACGGTTAGTGACAGGGAACGAGGAGCACGATGGCCGAACGGTTAATGACAGGGAATGAGCGGTCCAGATGATAGAAGGGGAGAGAGACTTAACCGAGCGGTAGAAGGAAGAGGGAAAGAGGGCCAAAGGGTGGGGAGCAGCGAGGAGCATCCTAACTGACACAGCAATTAGGATGGACGGGAAATTTATTAGAATTTAAGGGCCTATCTCAGGATATTATTAAATATAAATTAAATATAGTAAATAAGGGTGAAGATATTCTTACCTGATAATCTTAATAAATAGGCATAATTACTATGATTCTTTACCTTTTCGGGAGAGAGTGATTAGAATAAATAAAGTTAGAGTCTAGGGTTAAAAATATGTTTTTATGTGTGAGATTTGTAAGAGAGGTTATGCTCTCAGGTAACTGACGGAGATCCTGCTCCCAGTTATTGGTTGTTATCTTTGGTGCAGTATTTTCTATTCAATAACAGCGGTATATTCAGTAAATTTCCAGTGTTCCTTATTTGTGCGAGTGTGTGAGTGAGCCTAATGGTTACGGCCCAAACTAACAGAATATATTTTTTAAGCTTAAATACTTTTCAACATAATTTGGACACCTCCCCGATAAGTGGTGTGGGACGACATCAATTATTGTTTAAACATTTCATAGGCACTCCTATTATGAAAACAAATATAAAAACAGTTCATACCATTTAGCTAATTGTTTTAACTATTAAAAAATATATTTTTAGTTTTCTATACCTGAGGGTCCTTTATTACATGAAAACTATATAAAGCTTACAATTTTTTATTTTTGAATGTGAATTATGCAAATCTTAATTCACAATTTATATTTTTGTTATGTTTATTTATACGTGTATATATATAGACACAAACACACATAGAAGGAGTGTCCTCATGCCCCATATTTTGGAGAATAGCCGTGTTTTGATGTCAGTATTGGGCCATGTCTAGTGTGCATGTTAGAGTCAGTGCCTCATAGGTCAGTTGTTCTGCTGAGCAATCTAGAGTTCAATTGTTTGTTGGACTAAGCAGACAAGTGTTCAATTGTCTGTTACGCTGAGCCATCAGTTTCTATGTTGGGCAGTCAGTTTCTGCTATAGTCATTAACCCCGAATCATCAGTTAGTTACATAGATCTGTATGCTGGCCTGGTTTGTTTAGCTTCCTCGGGAAATCACTGTAATCTGTATGAATATAGATGGTTGTATCTCATTCCAATGTAATGAAAAACGTAATTTTCAGCTCTCTTAAATCTTATCTCTTTCTCTTATTTTATTTTTAGTGTCTTTAGTACAACTGTCAATATGTTATAGATTAGTTAAGTTGTGACGTTCCCAATCTGTTATTTCTTTCAAGAGCCTAAGGACCCACATCCATGGCTTCCAAAACTCCTCCACCATCACCTAGTCCTCCCCCACTTCTGCTCTGGTTACTTTCTCTCATCAAACCATAAAGAAACTTGAGGGGAAAAAATTTTCTTTCAGAGACAGCTGGTCAAACCAGATACCAAAGCTCAAGACTTCACCATTATCTTGAAGCCTAACAAATTCCACCTAAGTTACTCATTGCTAATAGATTTGATCTCACTGAAATGAATCCTAAATTCCTCCCCTAGGAGTTGCAGAATCAATTATTGATCTCTTGGTTATAATTTTCACCCTCTACCACAACTCTCTCACACGTTGGTTTACACATGCATACTAAATTTCAAAGAGATTTCATGCTCACTTTCAACATCTGTGAGAAAGTGCAACATGTGAGATTGAAGCTTTTCAACACTTCTCTTGAAGATTGATATTTTACTAAATTTTTTCCATAAAGGCTTTCATAGAGGATTGTTATGTGGTTGTTGATTCTATTTCATGTCAAGAATAGCTTCATATAATTCTTGAAGGTCTTTCTAGAGAATATGCTCCTGTAATTTCTATAGATGAGAGTAAACTAGATCATTGTAGGTTGAGAAAGTTTAAGCATTGATTCTGTTAGATATATTATCTTTATTTTATATTTATCTTTTATCTTTTATCTTTAGTTAGTTTGTTATTATTTCTTATTTGTATTTTGGGCTTAGCCCATATTTCTTCTATTATAAATAGAAAACCCTATGTGTGTATTTAACACAAGGGAGATTAATCCCATATATAATTTTCACTATATTCAACATGGTATCAAAGCTTAAGGTTCTTTTTTGAGGAAAAAGTTTCTGGTGCCTCTGCCACTACATCCACCGTTGCCGGCGGCGGCGCCATCTACTGCCGTCGGCGGTGCCATCATCTACCGCTGTAACTACCGAAGTTCTAGTTTCGACTGATGATCACATGGTTTTCATCGTCTCGGCCAGGCGACTACCATGCCTTTAACGACGCCTTCATCGGAGTTCCTTTTAAAGTTATGGATTTGCTCACTTTTTCGTCGTGCATTGTGGCATGTTTGGTAGTTGTTTAGAGCATCGAGGCTGCTCTTTTTCCTTTTTCAGGCGTCTTGATTGGAGAATTTTGGATTTTTTATGGTTTCTCTCTCTTATTCATCCATGGCTTCTTCCGCTGGTGTCTCTTCTGACCTCATTTTTTGTCACCATTGTGTTTGACCCGTCTATATATGCTTCTTTTCCCATGGAAAAGATGGTTCTTGTTAGTTTATTTATAGTCATGGGGGCTCTTCAACAATTACATCTTTATCCACTGGTGGCATTCTTCAACAGTGATTTGCAAGAAGAGATTTACATGGAGCAACCTCCCAGATTTGTTGCTCAGGGGGAGTCTTTTGGGTTGGTATTTCGTCTTCTATATCGTCTTGCAAATCATTAGCAATTTGGTGTCACTCGAGTGCAGAAGCAGATATTTTCACTAAGTCTTGATGAATTATATTAGTAACAAGCTTGATACATAGCTATGTACTAGCTTGAGGGGGAGTGTTAGATATATTATCTTTATTTTATATTTATCTTTTATCTTTAGTTAGTTTGTTATTATTTCTTATTTGTATTTTGGGCTTAGCCCATATTTCTTCTATTATAAATAAAGAACCCTACGTGTGTATTTAACACAAGGGATATTAATCCCATATATAATTTTCACTATATTCAACAGATTCTTACCCAAGAATTGCAAAAGAACAAGTCCTTAGAAAAAACTGTCAAATTAATGTCAATGAAGCCACTACTCAATCTTTTTGCCAATCACAAGGTGAATCTGTACATCAAGCTTATTGACCATAGATGTTCTTGCAATCACTGTAACTCTAGATGTTCTCAAAGAACATAGTGGTTGTTATGGCCTTCAACACAAACATGATGATCAGTCATCTATTTAATGTTAATGTGCTTCAATTTTGGGCACACTGCCACCACTATTTATGATCTACCAGCCAATTCTCCCACATCCCAACTATTGTCAACTCTAACAATACTCTTTGTTGTTAGTTGGTGCACAACTCTGTGTGAGTTATAAATACAATTGTGTGAGTTGCAAGCATGAGTGGTGTGAGTTGTATTTGTGAGGTGTTTTCCACTTTGATATTAGTTGTCCTCCACCTTTGTATTCTTTGTATTCCTATAAATAAGAGATGAAGGTTATGGGTGTTTCCAAGCCCTCTAAAACATACATTCTTCTCTTTTCTTATTTCAAGTTGGTATTAGAGCTTCCGATCTTGGGAGCCCTACATCCATATTTTTTTTGGGTTGCCTGAAGTGCACCCATTTCCTCCAAAATATTGAGTTTTTCTAAAGGGCACCCGACTTGTGGTTCTTGCACCCCACTGAAGCCTTCACTGGACTTTTGTCGGGTCTTCGTCGAAGCTCACCAGACCTTCACCAGAGCCTTGTCGAACCCTCAGCGGACCTCCACCATACCTTCGCTGCAGCTGTCATCACATTTTTAGCTATTTTTAGTAAAATGGCATTGCCAAGAGAAAAAATAAGGATCTTCTTGAGGTAAAATGGGCACTTTCTTTCTAAATGCATGTCCCTAAATCTTATTGAGGCGAGGTTGTCCTCACTATTGCCTATCTAGTCTTCATAGTTGGGTGTTTAAATGTGTTGTGTATGTCCATATTCATAGTCAATTCCATGGAAAGTTAGATCCTAGAGTTGTTAAATGCATATTCATTGGTTATGCATCTAATAAAAAGGGATATTGTTGTTACCATTCTCCAAGTCGAAAGTTGTTTACCTCCATGGATGTTACTTTTGATGAAGCTAAATCTTTTTACACGGGTCCTCAGCTTCAGGAGGATAGTTCTTTTGAAGTTGGGGCTTTTGAATCTCGAGTCATCTTTTGTATGTGTCATACAAGAACCATCTTATTTCGATATTACTCTTGGTACTCCTAATATTTCTCCATAAACATCTCCTATGGATGTCTCTAAAGTTGCTCCTAACAATCCCGAGTCAGGGTCAACTATAGAAACTAGTCGTCCAAAAAGATTTTTCCATATACAATACCAGAGGCGACAAAAGCAACCTAACTTGATCCAACAACAGCTCCAATCATCTGAGCCAAGGGTAAGTACTCCTACTGATGCCATTGAACCTTTGGAAATTTCTTTGAATGGTAATTGTGAACATGACCTTGATGACCTGCCCATTGCCTTGAGAAAAGGAACTCAGTCTTGTGCAAGTATCCTATTTCTCATTTTGTGACCATTAAACACCTTTCTATGCAACACCAGAGTTTTCTCTCTACCATTGATGCAATTGGAGTTCCAACATCAGTTCAAGAAGCACTAATGGATGAGAATTGGATGCAAGCCATGAATGAAGAGATGAGTGCCTTAGAAAGGAACCAGACATGGGAAATTGTTGACAAGCACTAAATAAAAAACTAGTATGACTAAGGTTTAGAGAGGGAAATTTTGAGTTTTTATTTTATTTTATTTTGGGTATAATATTATGTTTTGCTTTGGGAGTTATGGGCCCAAATAGGTGTAAACCATCTAAATGGTTCAATTTATAAAAGTTCTTGGAAAATGAGAATCTTAGGGATTTAAATGAAAGAAAATTGCCAAAGGGATATAAAATTTGCTTAGTTTGAGTCCCTATTTAAATATTTCCATCGTCATTGTTCTCTCCCTAGAAATATAACATAGTGCATGTATCAACAAAAAAATTAAACAGAAAACAAATTGAACACCATTTGAAAAGGATATAAATGTATATGCAAATATTAACATTAGTAGAGTTCTTTAAGTCGGGTGCAGAAAAAGTTAAAGAAATGAATAAAATAATTTCAATTACATTGTCCTATTGTTGTCTTTGACTTCTTTGATGAATAACCCAAGCTCATGCATTTTCGAATTGAGCTAGGGTCCATTCCACCACCATCATCTGCATAGGAAACAAGTGCTCGATTAAAACTTTGTTGACAATAACTAACATCAAACCAAAAAAATTACTATCGACACAGTAAGAAAATGTATGTTTGGAATTGGATAGCATACCTAGGAAACATAATGCAGGTGAATTATCCTTCTTGACACCAAACTTGTCAATCTTTACAAAAGTTGCACCATTTTGAATCTTAAAGTACAGAGAAAAATTTAGTACTCACTAATACTCATGTTCTATAACAACAATTCCCAAATAGCTTATTAGTAGTTCCTCATAGACAGGAGTTTTTAGGAGGAAAGTTTTGCAAGCATGCAAGTGATTTTCCAGTTCCACAGCCAAACAAATATGACTAATATTTGTTAATTCAAATTCAAAATATGTGTGATCCTTTTAAACCTAATACATAGGTTACATGTAAACTAAAATGTTTTCATTTGAGAAATAGTGATCCAAGACAGTGACTCGAGGCACTACAGGTACGTCTAAGAGAATAAGATAGTAGGACCAGAAAGGAGAAGGTAGAAACCTACTCATAGGATTACCTAAAAATTCATACTCCAAATATTTCTTCTTCCAAGGAGGCTATTCAACTAACCCTGGGCATCAATGGATTTCCCAAGGAGGAATTGTCACCCAGCATGAATACTAGTCAAAGGGGTTTCAAACCAATGCACATGGAGAATAAAATTTTTTATCCCCATCAACCAGGTGAGCCAACCCTTGTCAGTAGACCAACTTTGAAATGCTATAATATAAACTCGATCAAAAGTGAATTTAAACCATAGTAGCTTATCATAAAGCTAAAAGTCCTCAACAATATTTTTGTCACGCTGACTAACTGATTATCTTACTGCCTAAAGAGTAAAATACTTTTTACTGGAATCATACCTCATCCACAGCATTATCCACTAGCTCAGCAATTGCTGCCAATTAAGAAAGGCATATATTATGAATAAACAAGCAATCCATCATATATGAAAAATATTTAAAGCAATAAGTCTTCATTCAACATTTAAAAGAAACATTTAGCAATTCCAATCACTATCCTTGCTATCCAAAATTATCTTAGAAACATATCAGTTTTATTCTAAATAAAACCATCGTAAGTTGTAGAAACAAAAACAGACAGCAATTTGAAAAGGCAACTCAATAAGAAACAAGTCTTTAAACATATCGGATCCACACAAAGACAGTCTACGAATGTTTTCTATTTGCCCAGTTAACGCTTCATAAAGCCTGAGAGCATAAGTTGCATCAGGCTCTAGCTTTGTCAAACAACCAAATTCACAAGTGGTAGAAACTTGCAGCAGTTGCATGAAATAAATTTTTATGAATTTTTATTTTTAGTATGTTAATTTAGATGTTAATGATAATAATGTATAAATTTTTATGTTAATTTTTATTTTTAGTATGTTAATGATAATAATGTATAAATTTTTATTTTTAGTATGTTAATTTAGATTTTCAAATTGCAATTTTATATGAATTAAGTTTTATGAATTTTATACCTATCTAGACAAGTTTCTTACACATGCTGTATCCTATATCTTCGTAATACATATTGTTGTATCAGACATATCATATCTGCACATCATAGATTCCAACTAAACAAAACTACAAAAGCGACACAATGCATCTTGGGAAACAGACAATTACATTCCAAACCAGGAAAAAAAGTAGTATCTTAGCAAGAACATTACCTAGCCACTCAATAGAAGTAAATTTTACACACAAACCAAGCCAAAAAAGTAACATTTTTGGAGTGCAGTTATAAAAAATTGCACTATAAATTGGAGGTATTTTGCATATCAAATTTGATGCGTGAAACAATTTGAATAAAGTAATTTGCTTTAATACATTTACTTGGAATATGTACGAGAGTTAAACTAATAATAAATATCAAAATTATTAAAACTAAAATCAAACCAAATCTATACAAACAATTTGAACCAAAAGGATTTCAAAAATAAATTAATTCTTATCTTAATTTTTCAAACAACGAATTTATTCTAAAATCAAACCAAATCCCAAAATTTGTTCAAATACAAGAGAGGCAAAGAAAGCACACCTCCAAAAGCCCATTTATGGGAAGTCGCATTAGAATGCAGAAACTTGGGGTGCACCCGGGCATGCTCTAAGTGACCTGAAATTGGAGGGTAACAGTTAAGGGTGTGCCTGAATGGCAGGCTTTAGAGGATAAAGAGAAATAAGGGTTAACTTTTGAACCTGAATCAATTACTTAATAGTAAAGTCTTCACTCATCACAATATTACGAAGGAATGAGATGACCCTTAACGTATGGCAACGTTTTCTTTTTAAGTTGTTTTTATTGTTATGGTCGTTCTACAGTTATATCATCAAGCGTGGATGTTTTAATTCAGTTATGAACACTCAACAGAAATCCGGATATTATTCTCTTCCACATCTCTCTCTATTTGACTCTTCACAACTTATACAGGTAAACAATTCTCAAAATGAAAGAAATAAAACAAAAACCCTGGTTTTAAAAAATGATCAAGGACCGCAATTTCAAGGTTCATGGAGTGTCCGCGACTGCAATTGTGGCACATCCGCTGCATTTGTCTGAAATTTTCCACAATAATTGCGACAAAATCACGATAACGGTCACAGTTTAAAACCTTGTACGAAAGGTTAGCATGTAACCATCCGACCATCAATCATTCAATTTTTAAAATATCATACACACACATGTAACTCTATCAACCCTTTCCCTCCATACACCTTCGTCAAAATATAACCTAAGAGAACGGTGTGAGTAATGAAATTAATTTTGGAGGAATTAAAAGAATTAAAATGACAAAGGGCAATGTACAAAACCTTGAAAGGGAGCGGGCTTCGAAGAGGGACCAACAGCGTAATCCCCGGCTTTCCAGAAACTTCTGAACCGGCCGTCAGAGACAGAAAGAGTGGAACTCGAGACAGGGGTTTCTTGCTGCACAAGCTCGACTTGAGACGATGGAATCATCTGCGATAACTTATCTTTAATGACGGAAGCTACGGTGACGCCGCCGTCGCCGTCGCTATCAATGTCGACGACGGGGGCGTCGTTTTTCTCAGTTTTGGGAACCAAGGACATGGAGGAATCGAGAACACTCGGAAACGAACTGTTGTGCCTGGGTTATCGATAGTGAAAATACATGTTTTTCTCAGGGAGAAATACGTTTAAAGAAAATAAACTAAGATAAACAGTAAAGCATCCCATACATATACATCGACAACTATATTTTAACAACATTTCGACGCCAAGTGTCAACGCCCCATTCGTCCCTTTGTAATAAAATTAAAATATGAAATTCGTTCGTTTGGAATAAAATTAAAATACGAAAATGTGACGTGAAAAAGGTCATAGGATTAAAAGATTACTCATTTCAAAATTACCTCTCGTATTTGATCTCTTCATTCTCTCATATTTTTCAATTTTTGTTCTCTTTATTCATTTTGATTATCTCTCCTCATTTTAGTTCTCCCTTCATTTTTGTCCTCAAACCTTTGGTGAAGCTCGTGATTTGCAAGGGATGAACCCAAAGCTTCAATGTTTGGTGAAGGTCCTTATTTGCGTAGGACGAACTCAAAGTCCGCTCTCCTTAGTTTGGCCCTCTATTTCGTTCACTCTCATGTTCCTCATTGTACACAATGGCATTCTATGGTGACCATGATGGTTCGAGTAAGGTAGATGTGTTTATCCATTTTCTTCATTGCGTTTTGGGTTTGGCATTGGGTTTTCGCTATTGTGTTTAATTTTTTTTGTTTTCATTTTTGGGATCTGACCTTTTATTATCTTGGTCTCTTTGATGCAGTTATGTGTTCGTCATTCTTTTTCAAGAAAGTATGTTTGTGCTTTGAAGAGAAGAGTAAAAGGAGAAATGTACAAAGTACGCCTCGTGCAGAATCCGACATGAACACTGCCTTTGTAAGCCTGAGAGGCATGTACAGCAACCAACCCTATGTGTAGAGGTTTATGAGAGTCGGATCGCGAAAGCGTTACAAGAGCAAGGCGCTTAGAACCCAATACACAGCAAATAAAGCAAAACACGAGTGATTTTTATATTGAATCCTTATAGAAATGAATACAAAATTGTACATAGATGAACAAACAAGTTTATTGTACCCGATTTTTTTAATGAAATAAAAGATGAAACTTTACATCAGTTGGTTATTGTTAATGTTAATTCAAGTTTTAATGTCTTTGTTATTGTCATTTTCAAATGTGTTGTTGTTTGGAATGTGAATAAACAAAGTGACCAATGTGATTGAGTATCATCCATGAATAATGATATCACCAATTTTCATTGCATCTATGGCATGCGTAGCCTATTTTGTCTCTTGTAATCGATTACAATGAGCCTGTGAACGATTACACTAACAAAATTGTTGTTTTGTACAAAAACCCATGTTGCAGGAGCCAACTATGGGCACACAGGTAGCCAAATACATTTTATGTTATTTTTTCATATTTCTTGGGCAGTCCATGGTGAAGGAAAGACCCAATGTTGGTGTCAAGACCAAGTTGGTTCAAGTCCTGAAACAAGTGCATGCCATTTTGTGCCTTGTAATTGATTACAAGGACCTTATAAATGATTACACAAACAAAAATCTAGTTTTTTACAAAAACTTGTACGGCATGAGCCAACTATGGGCACATAAGTAGCCAAAGACAATTTGAATGAGATAACATGTTGTCAACTTAGACCTTTGCTGACTATTTTAATGATAAATTTTTCCCCTGGCCTCCAAATGATGCAATTCTTTTTTATTAGAAACTAGTCTAAAAAATCTTTCCAATGACTACTAATTTGTAGTTTTTGGACATCTGAGTAGGTACAATTTATTCTTTAAAGTTAATGCTTTATATATTCCTGCCAACTCTGACATTTGCTATTTGTTTTGCTCTTAACTTTCTCCACCGAACTCCAAATGAGTTGATTCTTGTTTTGTTGGAATCTAGACTCAAAGAGCTTTCAAATGACTACCAACCCATAATTTTTAGACACTATACTAGATGCAGCTAATTTCCTAAAAACAACGTTTTTCAAACTTCCTAAATGAGTTTACTTTCAAATTATTGTTTCACGTTTCTTATTTTAGATGAGAAAATTACAAGTTAGTAGTCATTGGAAATATTTTTGAGTCTATTTTCTTGTTAAATATAGTGAAAATTATATATAGGATTAATCTCCCTTGTGTTAAACACACATAGGGTTCTCTATTTATAATAAAAGAAATACGGGCTAAGCCCAAAATACAAATAAGAAATAATAACAAACTAACTGAAAGATAAAAGATAAACATAAAAGATATAATATTTCTAACACTCCCCCTCAAGCTGGAGCATACAAATTGTATGAACCAAGCTTGAAATAATTGAACTTGGTTTTGAACTAGATGATTTGTCTTCAAGAGTGTGATGAACAAACAACAGCTTGTGAAACTTCAACTTCAAAAGTGGATGAGGGAGAGCAGCAGAGAAGGAGGCAATAAACACTTCAACTTCAGAAGTGGATGAAAGAGAGCAGCGGAGAAGGAGGCAATAAACGCAGCAGAGAAGGAGGCAATAAACGCAGCAGATCTGTGCGGCAGATACAATAAGAAAGGAAGAACAAGGCAAGAACAACAATACAGAGGCGAAACCCTCTACAACAGAGACGAAGCACAAAAAACGCAGAAAGAAGAAGGAGGTCCGAAGATGCGGAAGCATGCAGCGAGAAGAAGACAGACGTCGATGGCAGCAATGGCTGCTGCTCTGGAAGGTCTGAACAGAGAGAGGGAGGTTCGGTGAGACGATTGGCAGTGGCGCGGTTTGATACCGACGCCGAGAAGGCGGCACGTGATGAACACGCGTTCGAGATCTACTTCCGGAGAGTGGAGGCGCATGACAACACATGCAAACGAGACAAAGACGGCGACTGCTAGGGTTAGGTCGCGCTTGAAGAGACGGTCCAGATCCACTGGTCACCGGTCGAAACTGTGACGGTGGCCGGTGAGAAGGCGGCGACTGGTTCAGAGGAGGCAGTGGTTCCCAGGAGACTTGTCTCTTTGATTCTGGGTGCTGAGATTTAAGAAGAAGAGAAAATGAATCTTATGAAATTTTTAGGAGCTGCCGACGGCCATGATGGCCGGCCGCCGGCAGACAGCAAAGACCACCGAAATAGATCAGAAAACTTGCTCTGATACCATGTTAAATATAGTGAAAATTATATATAGGATTAATCTCCCTTGTGTTAAACACACATAGGGTTCTCTATTTATAATAAAAGAAATATGGGCTAAGCCCAAAATACAAATAAGAAATAATAACAAACTAACTGAAAGATAAAAGATAAACATAAAAGATATAATATTTCTAACACTCCCCCTCAAGCTGGAGCATACAAATTGTATGAACCAAGCTTGAAATAATTGAACTTGGTTTTGAACTAGATGATTTGTCTTCAAGAGTGTGATGAACAAACAACAGCTTGTGAAACTTCAACTTCAAAAGTGGATGAGGGAGAGCAGCAGAGAAGGAGGCAATAAACACTTCAACTTCAGAAGTGGATGAAAGAGAGCAGCGGAGAAGGAGGCAATAAACGCAGCAGAGAAGGAGGCAATAAACGCAGCAGATCTGTGCGGCAGATACAATAAGAAAGGAAGAACAAGGCAAGAACAACAATACAGAGGCGAAACCCTCTACAACAGAGACGAAGCACAAAAAACGCAGAAAGAAGAAGGAGGTCCGAAGATGCGGAAGCATGCAGCGAGAAGAAGACAGACGTCGATGGCAGCAATGGCTGCTGCTCTGGAAGGTCTGAACAGAGAGAGGGAGGTTCGGTGAGACGATTGGCAGTGGCGCGGTTTGATACCGACGCCGAGAAGGCGGCACGTGATGAACACGCGTTCGAGATCTACTTCCGGAGAGTGGAGGCGCATGACAACACATGCAAACGAGACAAAGACGGCGACTGCTAGGGTTAGGTCGCGCTTGAAGAGACGGTCCAGATCCACTGGTCACCGGTCGAAACTGTGACGGTGGCCGGTGAGAAGGCGGCGACTGGTTCAGAGGAGGCAGTGGTTCCCAGGAGACTTGTCTCTTTGATTCTGGGTGCTGAGATTTAAGAAGAAGAGAAAATGAATCTTATGAAATTTTTAGGAGCTGCCGACGGCCATGATGGCCGGCCGCCGGCAGACAGCAAAGACCACCGAAATAGATCAGAAAACTTGCTCTGATACCATGTTAAATATAGTGAAAATTATATATAGGATTAATCTCCCTTGTGTTAAACACACATAGGGTTCTCTATTTATAATAAAAGAAATATGGGCTAAGCCCAAAATACAAATAAGAAATAATAACAAACTAACTGAAAGATAAAAGATAAACATAAAAGATATAATATTTCTAACATTTCTAATAAAAAAGGAATCAACTCATTTAGAGTTTGGTGGAGAAAGTTAAATGCAAAACAACCAGCAAAGGTCAGAGGTGGTAGGAATATATTAAATGTTAACTTTAAGGAATTAACTGTACCAGATGATGTCCAAAAATTACAAATTAGTAGTCATTGGAAAATTTTTTGAGTATATTTTCTAATAAAAAAGAATAACATCATTTGGAGGTATGTGGGAAAATTTATGATTAAAATAGTTAGCAAAGGTTTCTGAACCAAGGTAGGTGAAGTTTATGACCATTTTTGCCCAATTTATGCCTTGGTAATCAATTGTAGGCCATTTTGGCCATTGTAATCGATTACAAGGACCCTGTAAATGATTACACGAACAAAATTCTGGTTTTGTACAAAAATCTGTGTTGTAGGAGCCAACTGAGGGCACACAAGTAACCAAAGACATTTTACGAAATGTTTTCATATTTCTTGAATAGACTATCTTTTTTTATGCACCAACACTTAGGCCTATCAAGGTCGCTTACGTAATCAAATTTTGTACCAAGCACCCATAACCAAATAAAGGTTTCTATGTATGTGGTCAAACAACATTAGTAGAAAATGTATGATACTAGATCAAAATGGAAATTTTGTTCATATAATATATTATCAATACATATTACCCGACATTTATAATCATAATCTTTTGTATACAAAAAACATGTGCACTTAGTTTCAACTCGAGTGAAAAATTTCTTTCAATGGAGAGGAAGACCCGTGAGAGTGAAAGCAATGCTCTAGA